GCGGAGGTTCCGAGCCGGGTAGGCCACGGAGGACGCGGCTGAAGCCGCCGAGAGGTGAGGGGCGGGGAAGGGAGGCCTCGCTGCCTCTTTGAGGTCGGTGCGAGCGGTGGGGGTGAACCGAGCTGAGGAGAGAGGCTAAGGACCCGGGATCCTCAAAACCCTATCTCTGACGCTTGCTACGGGTAGAGGAAGTGGTGGGGGTGGGGGCGTTCTGACAGTTTGGAACCTGACTTCCGGCGTGGTATTTTGGTGCCCAGGTATTCCGTTTTTTTTACCCCGTTGGGCTGCCACGGCTGGATTTGATACGCGTGCCCTGGTTCATGTGAGAGAACTGCCATGGTGAATTCCAGAAAAAGGATTGGCGACATTTGACCAAATAACAACACAACTGTGCAGATGCGCAAATGCTCAAATGGCAGTGTATTCTTAGTGGAATAGTGTCTTAGTTTTAGAACGATTACGGTAGTAAATCATGGTTCTCCCAAGTATGCACACTAACAAACCTGTTGCAGTTTTAGAACGATTACGTTAGTAAATCATGGTCCTCCCAAGTATGCACACTAACAAACCTGTTGCGATACCATTTATCAACGAAGAACTATGATGGTGTGTTATATTCTGCCTTGGAAACACAGTGTAAAAACGTCACTCACCGAATTTGCAGATAGAGGACCCAAGATAATTCTAAAATAAAGAGTGAAGGGGAAGTCCTCATTCAGTGAATAGAACATTTAAAGGCCAGAATTTTGTGTGCTGTGCAATAGCTGGGCTGTTAACTGAGTAAAGTGCCCGTGGGCTTACTGGAAGTTAATTACAAAAGCATATCCTGTTGAGGGATGTATAGCACCACAAGTACTAGCTAGATAATATCTGAATTTACATGCGTTTACAAAAGTAATACTTTAAAACCATATGAACACCTAAAGGCTGGTTGTGACTGAGTTACCCTTCGGTGATCGCACAAATGAGCAATGACTAAATCAAGCATTTTCCCCCCCTTAGAAATGGAGGCTGAGGATTTAAGTGGCAGAGAATTGACGATTGACTCCATAATGAATAAAGTGAGAGATATTAAAAATAAATTTAAAAATGAAGATCTCACTGATGAGCTAAGCTTCAGTAAAGTCTCTGCTGATACAACAGGTGAGTTTTTCTTCCCTTGTAAACAGTGACTATCAAGTGTTCTACGTCAAGGAGTGACATGTTAATCACAATGTGCCACACGATGTGATTTTCTCAGTACCAACTTCAGTTTCTAACACTTTGTGTGGAAATATTCCACAATATTATGCTATTTTACAAAAGGATATTTAACAGTTTATTACAGTGTGCTCAGAGGTAGTTTTCATAACTCTTGATCAGTTGCCGTTTCAGGTGGTGTGCCAGCTATCAACTGATAGACAACATAGTCTCATTGTCTTGGCTACAAACTAAGGAAGCTTCACAAATACGAATAAGTTGTTTATAAGTGTAAAGTGACACACTCGATTGTTGGTTGTAGAATTTTCCTTTTGCTTCTCTGTACTTTTCCCCCCTATTGTCCCTTTACTCTACTCTAGTCACAGGGATAACCTTTTATATTTCTAGGCCAAGGCCCTTGCCCTTACCCTCTGCTGGAACACTACTCATCTCTCCCCACTCTTTAACTCCTGCAGGTCTTTGTTCAGATGTCGTCTCAGTAAAGCCTTCCCTCACGTACCTCTTTAAAATAGCTTGCAAGAATGGGGATGGGCCCCATATCTTTCCTTCCTGAATATTTCTTCATAAAATGAATCACCTTATATATAATTTGCTCAAGGATATGCATATTATCTGTCTTCTCTACTAAAATGTGAGCTCCATGGGGGCAGTGCTATTACCTATGTTGTGGACTCTTATAGCCACAGAGCTTAGTATGGTGCTGGCACTTGATAGATAGATAGATAGATAGATAGATAGATAGATAAAGTGCCAAAATTTGAATAACCTAGTTGTGTAGAAGGTATTAGCTCAGAAGCCCAATTCTTTACTATATTTCAAATTGTTGAGGTCATTTGAAAAGTGACCTTAGAAAGAAATGGAAGAACCTGTAACCTAGTGTTGTTTGCAGACCACTTTTCCTTGTAACAACTTAGAAGCAGGTGCTTTTGGTGTTAAGCAAAACTTTAATAATTTAACATGTGTCTGCAGATAGCTTTAACAGAGCTTGTCTTCACTGATCCTCACCTAGTTGCTATCAAGTTGATTCTGAATCATGGTGAGCCCATGTGTGTCGGTGGAAATGTGCTCCATAGCATTTTTAATGATTGACTTTTTGGAAGTAAGTCGTTACCAGCCTTTTCTTCTGAGAGGCCTTTGGGTTGATTCAAAACCCTAATGTTTCAACTAGTAGTCACATCATGGGCGTTAGTTATTTGCATCACCCAGTACTCCCATAGAACCTGGTTGTTGTTATTAGGCACTGCTGAGTGGATTTCAACTTCACAGCAAACCCCCAAAGTGTATATACTTACCATATACTAATTTGTGTTTGGGTGTGTGTGTGTGTTTAGTCTTAAACAGGACAAGGGGGTGACAAAGACATTCTGATGGGGGAGACCATTGCCATGGGATCACTGGTATCAGCATATCCAAGGATTTGCTTATGTACAGAACTTTAGAAAGGACATAAGATATCAAGTATAGCTATTATACAAGCATGATAGGAGACAAATCAAAACATCATAATTACAGTGGGGTTGACAGAGCAGGAATGGGCCATGATTGGGATACATGTGTTAAGGTAGAGGAGCTTACAAAATTGATCCAGGGGCTCTCCAAGGCAATTTGGGTGTGGCTTATGACTATGCTACTCCCACATACAGGGGTCTCAATCATGGAAACACACAGGCAAGCACCCAAAGAGGACTGTCCTTCTCTAGATTTATCAGGTAGGTGGAGATAGTGTCCTTTCCATTGTGCTCTAAGGGCAACATTATTCCTTTCCCTGGTTGATGTTCAGAGGGAGTTCAATGGAAGATTTAGCCACAATAATTGCGATTTAAGACATTAAGTCTAGAGGAATGTTCAAAGATGATTTCCTTTTTAGATAAGGAGTATTTTGTTTGGTACATTGCTGGTCATAGATGAATACTAATGTGATAAAGGCATGCTGGAAGTGTTGAATAGAGAAAGGATGGGCTTACTTAGAGGCATAAAGCATATGTCTGCAAACCACAGATGGGAAAGTGTGTTTTGGGGTATCTTACAGAGTAATTGTTCCAAAATCAATAGGCAAACCTGGAAAATAAAGCCAAGATCAGGCAAGATTAAATTTGAAGTGAAAGGCTAAGTTGTACATGTACTGTTTTTTGTTAGAAAGTAGAAGTGAGCATTTTTTAGCTAAAGATTTAGCCCTTGTTAAAGATAGCTGAAACTGATAGAAGGCGTGATCGTTTCGCTGAGAAATCTGAGTTATTGTTTACTAATAACTAAAATATCCTGAACAGGAGCCTGACAGTTCATATTGTCTTTTTACCTGGTTAATACTAGAGGAAATTACAAATACATTACAATATGACAATAATAGCTGGGGGTGAGTGTTTCTATAGGTTTTTAATATGGGAAATAAACATTAAAAACAATAAAATCACTGCCATCAAGTCAGTTCTGACTCAGAGACCCTCCAGATTGGATTAGAACTGCATCTTGGGGTTTCAGATTTTAAATCTTTGAGCTGCTGGCCTGTGGTTAGCAGTTCAATGTGTAACCCACTACACCACCATAAAGACACATTAGGGCAAATCAGTCCATCAATTCTGCATGTGTGTTCCACGGTGTGAAGCATAGGGGTTGGGTTAGAATGCAAGTCAAATTGTCTGGTGATGAAGAATGTGAGTAGTAGGATGAAGACGATAAAGAATGGCTGTGAGTTTGTGGGACTAAGAAATCGGCAGAAAGAAAATGTTTTGAAAATGATGATGGCTACAAATGTACTTGACACGATGGATGTATGGATTGTGATAGGGTTGTATGAGCCTCCAATAAAATGATTTTTTTTAAAAAGAAAACTATGAACATTATAAATTTAAAAAAATAACAATGAATACAAGAATGAAGAAAATGTTCTGAAACCGATTATGGTAAGGATTGTGCAACTCTTCTTGATGTGATTAAGCTATTGCCTTGTATGATTTGTGAATTATATGCCAATAAAACTGTTGAAAAAAAGAACAATTGGCAAGGCCTCTAGGAAAAATGAAAGCATCCTGGTGGCACAAGGGTTAAGTGCTTGGCTGCTGACTCAAAGGTTAATGGTTTGAATCCACCAGCTGTTCTCCAGGAGAAAGATGTGGCAGCCTGCTTCTTTAAAGATTACAGCCTTGGACTCTTATGCGGCAATTCTACTCTGTCATAGAGAGTCACTGTGAGTTGGAATCAATGCAAGGGGTATGGGATTTGGTCTAAGAAATGTAATTTGAAGAGGGAAGAAAATGAACAGACAAGGTGCTTACATGTATTTGTAAAGCTTGCCACTTGTTCTTAAAGCAAGTTTGAGGTATGTGGAGTTATTGTTGCCTGAATGAAGTTGTAAAGGTTAAATATATTGGATCCAGAGAAATATATTTCTAAAATTTTGTCAGTGAAGAATTTTCCAAGAAAATTGATATCACTGATGAGAGAAGCTAGATTTTCTTGGTTTATAAGTGGTGTGGAGGAGCTCTATCTGACCTCTTCTGACTCTCCTATTGCCACAAGGCAGAGAGAGGTCAGACATGCTTCACCCTTCTTTTTTTTTTGTACACATGTCAAGAATAATTGTTTGTTTGTTTTTTAAATCATTTTATTGGGGCTCATACAACTCATCACAATACATACATCAATTGTGTAAAGCACACTTATACATTTGTTGCCCTCATCATTCTCAAAATTCGCTTT